GGTGGATTCTTATTCATGTACTATACATTCATTCATTCATCTAAGCTTTCAGCAAGCATCTATGAAGCACTTAACAACTACAAAGACCTGGGCTTATGGGGGCAAAATGAGGGAAAGAATGAAAAGAATGAAAGGAAAAAAAGGAAAGAAAGGGAAGAAAGGAAGAAAGAAAGAAAGAGAAAGAAAGAAAGAAAGAAAGAAAGGAAGAAAGAGAAAGAAAGGGAAAGAGAGGGAGAAAGAAAGGAAAAGAAAAGAAAAGAAAAAAGAAAACAAAGAAAGAAGGAAGGAAAGGGAAGAAAGGAGGGAGGGAGGGAAGGAAGGAAGGAAGGAAGGCAGGAAGGAAGGGAGGGAGGAAGGAAGGAAGGAAGAAATGACTATGGCATGGTTATCCTCCTCTTCTCAATAGATTTTTTCAGTCTAGTAGGGAAAGAGAATGCTAAAGTCATTACCAGGAGTGGATATTTTCCTTGGACTCCAAAACTGAACACACCTGACAAACATAAGGTGATCAGTAAGTTTTTGTTGGATTAATAGTTAGATTGTTCAGATGTAGTGTTTGATGGTTTGGGGAGTAGAGAATACAGGTATCTGGAGATTACCCATCATTTTGTCCTAAAAGGGACTTCAGGAAGCTTTTCTTATCACAATGTACAGTGGGGAGCTCCTTGCCTGCCAGTCTGATATTTAAGTTGTAACCATATCAACACTTGATCTTCCTGTGGTGTTTTCTGGTTTTCAAAGTGCTTTAGCATGAATGATCTCAACTGATCTTTATAAGGTAGGTGAGGTACATATTTTTAACCTCGTCTTTCAAACAAAGCTGGGAGAAATTATGCCTTGCACGGTTTCATTCCCTTTCCGCTTCATCACACAATCCTCGATCTGCTTCATACACCCCAGGGCTTTAAATACCAAATTATAAAACACACTAAATACTGGTTCTTCAAAATCATCTTCAGAAGGAGGTATTCATGTACTTACTTATTGCTTCTTCTCCTGACCTTCTCTCCCCAACCCTCACCATCCCTATTGTGTTTTCTCAGCTACTCAACCTAACAGGGTCCTTTTAACTACTCTTCTTGATCAATTGTGGCAGTAACAGAAACAGGGACATAAATGTCTTGGACTATGAGACTTGCCACTTTGGGGCTAATCTGGCTACCTGGTTTCTCTAAAAGATTTTGATTGCTATCGTTGGCAGCATTTACCTATAGAATAGCTCCTAATAGATCATCATTTTGCAGAATCATTTTGCATCATTTCATTACCAAACACCTCACATTATTTCTGTTTTGAAATTTCTCATCAAAATCAAGGTCAAATTCATATAATATATTATTGGAGAAAATGAGATTTCTTTTCATTGTGTGTGATTTGTATAATAGCTTCTGGAACTTGAAGAAATGGTATTTATCAAATGAAGAGTACTTTTCCATTTTCTTTGGTAGCACATTGTCTCTAAATGCCTTGACAATTCTAGAATATAGGAAAACCTTAGGGGCAGCAATCAAGTCTGAGCTTGAGATAATGCCAATTGTCCAACTAAAAAGGAGAAGGGGTGCTGATGGAGATTATGGGGTCAGAGTAGAGATAAAGCCCCTGAAGACCATGCCTTCACACTGTCACATTTTACCTGTAAGCTGGATGAGCTGACCTCTGAAGAGTCCCCTGTTCTTCTATCTCGGACTTCATTTCAGTCAATTGCACAGTCAGTTCTTTTTCCAATAGCTGGATCCTTTCTGTGCAAGCGATCTTATAAATTTCATCCATGGTTTCCATCCACTATTTTTCTGATCCCTGAAAAAAGAGAATACAAAACTTGTGGCTAACTTCCTTGGTGACCATTACCCAGTTTGTGGGACTTGCTCTATCTCTGTCCAAGAAATCATGTCAATTTTGTAGAATGTATGCTTCTGCAATTTGGAGAAATGGCTGGACTAGACTGTTGTCATCTATGAGTTAATTACCATTTAGTAAACAGTACAGAAAATCTCCATTGACCATCCTTGTTCAGCCTAGCTCACCTTTAGAAACATCTTTGCTCCAGATTTGGCTGTGAGGGTGTATTGAATGAGATTGCATCCCCGGTGCCTGACCTCCACAGTCTTCACAAAGACTTGTGGGTATTACATGCTAAATGCTATGAATGGTGGTTATTGCTGATATCTAATATCACTTCAACTGGAGCAAACAATAGGTGTGTACAGGATCCACAGGGATCCTAATCCTAATACAAGCATAAAGTATTTCTCCATAAGCCTTTTTGAAAGCATGAGCTTATGACCAGGGGGAGCAGACAGTGAGAGTGGAGAGCTACCTAACATGATCATGATCCATGAACTTTTGGGTTTGAAAGAAAATCATGCTTAGGCATTTGACTGTGTTTTTTTAATTTTGAATGCTTCTATTTGTCATACAGCTTTTACCATTAAATAAAATAGTTGATAACTACTCCCACCATCTCACCCAGTTCACAGTCTGTCAGATTCAACAGAATCATTTGCTAAATACTAACGTCAGTATTTCAATTAACAAGATAGATCATGACCCAGAATGAAACCCATGAATTGCAGAGGACACAGGAGATGACGTGTTTCCTGTGCTACTGCTGCCCTCGTCTGTCCTGGAAAGAAGGGGTAAAGTAACTCTTAGGCCACATTAAAGAGGTTTAAAATATTTAAGCCTTCCTTTTTAACTTTGACAATTCTAAGATTTTTCACTTTTCCTTTTCAGTGGTATTTCATTTTCTCAAGTTAATCTGCTGCTGTTTTCCAACAAATAAGCTGTCGAGATGTTTTGTGTAGAGGCTGCCTTTGGGAGCCGATTTATTCTTTTTATGAATATTAAAAATGGAAATGAGCATCGTGTTCCATCTAGGTTGTGAACCTGCAGAGTTATAAATCTGTCATGTTTGGCACACTGCTGGAGCGCAATAAAACACACTGTTGTTGTTCTCAGCAAAAGTAAGATGTTGTTACAAAAAATATTTGCCACTTGGCAGTGTCCTTTCAAGTTGGGCAAACAGTTAAATAGCTGCCTTAACAGCTGCATTCCAACCAGTAGCCAAGAGTAGCAGCAACAGAGACTGCCTGATTTTTCTCCCAAATGATGGACATTCTGCCTTCATTTCCTGATCACTTTCAACACTTTAGAGCTCAGAAATGAGAACATTTAATCCTGCATCATTCAGCTTGCTACACAGTCATGTACAATATTCACAAAATTAACATAAGGAGAGGTCAGTATTTGACCACTCTCCATGAAATGGATCCAACTCAGAGGAGTCCATGCCTGCTGAGTACTCAGGCTGAGTGTTAAAGAAATAATCAACTGTTTATTTTGGGTTGGGATAAGGTGGGTTCCATTTACTGAGTACCTACTCTGTGTGAGGCTGGCACTGGGCCCTTATTTAAAATCTCAGAAAAGAGATTCTTAAGAATTGTTTCAATAGTGTTTTTTCAAAAATAAGTACAATTTAATTAATTAACTGTTGATAAACAAATCAAAAACCTTTTTTATGTGTTTGAAAAAGTGGTAAAATATAAGCTATAAGAAAAAGATAGTAAGATTAGCTTGAGCAGGGTTTGAGGGTGTTTAATGGGGAGTTACACTGGGCTTCAATGGAGTTAAAGCAGGGATGTTTAGAAAAGAAATACCAGTAATTTTACAGTCTTCTAGGAAAATGTATAATGCATGTCAAAAACTTCAAAGTGGCTACTAAAAGAATGGAAATGCAACCTAGAGTTTCCCAAGCAAGTGGGGTGAGGGATAGGAATGGGTCTTGTAAATACAATAGAAGGTAGGAAAAAAGAAAAAAGGACACAAAAATAAGTCTGGTAGAAATAAGTTTTAAAATGTTAGTAACTATTATAAGTGTAAATGGATTAAGTCCACCTATCAAAACACATAAATCAACATAGCTTTGAGCATTTTTAAAGCTCCTAAAAGCCTGTAGGTATGTTTTTTGGAGTATAGGTCTTTTGCCTCCTCAGGTAGGTTTATTCCCACGCAGATGGTTTATCTTTTTAATCCTTTCAAATTATCTATGTGTCTTTGTCTCTTCAGTCCAATCTGAAAAATCTTGGTCTTTTAATCAGAGCATTTAGTTAATTTACATTTAATACGATGTTATAGTTGGGTTTAAGTGCACAATCTTACTATGTATTTTACTCATTTTATTATTTTTCTACTTGTCTCACCTATTTTTGTTCCTTTATTCTTCCTTTCCGTCATTATTTTGAATTAATCAAGTATTTTTACCATTCTGTTTTACCTCTTCTACTAGGTTTTTCATTACACCTGTTTTACAGATTTCTGGGCCTCATCTCCAAAGTTTCTGATTTAGTAGATCTAGGTGAGGCCTGAGAATTTTCACTTCTCACTAATTCCCAGATGGTGATTATGCTTCTAAGTCAAAGGACCAACTTTGAAAGTCATTCCTCTAGATTCCAACATACATTCTTGACTTATTACAGCCTGCCTTAAGCTAGTAATTTATTTTTATAGTTTACCATAAGCTAGTGATTTTTTTAACAGTTTGCCTTAAGCTAGTGATTTTTACTGTCCAAAGAATAAAAATCTTACAATGATTTAAATCCACATACCTCCTTCCTGCAATTCCTGCCACTGTTTACTTTTACAAACTCCACAGTACATTTGATTTTTGCTGCTTTGAATATCAATTAAAAATTTTTTTACCCACATATTTATCTTCCATTCTGCTCTTCTTTCCTGAAGATCTGTGCTTCCATTTGAGTTCATTTTCCTGTAGCCTGAAGAACTTCCTTTAATATTTTTCATAGTGTGAGTCTGCTGCTGCTGAATTATCTCAGCTTTTATTTGTCTGAATAAATCTTTATTTTTACCATGATCTCAAAGGATATTTTAATTGGATATAAAATTGATAGTTTTATTTTTCTTTCAGCACTTTAAATGTTTTTTGTTTGTTTTTTACTGTTTTTTGGCTTCCATGATTTCAGTAAGAAAATAGTCATCTGCCTTACTGTTGCTTTTTTACAAAGTAATATCTGGTTTTCTCTTGCTGCTTTTAAGATTTTATCTTTGCCAGCAGTTCAACTGTGATACACTTAATTGTGGTTTCCTTTGTATACATCTGTATTGCGTATGAAATTTACTGAGCTTCTTTAATGTTGGGAGTGACATCTGTCATCAGTTTGGGGACTTTTTTGACTATTATCTCTTCATATATTGCTTCTGCCTCATCCTGTAATTCTTACCCTTCTGCAACTCTAACTGAATATGTTTGATTGCTTGACTGTATTCCACATGTCTCTTATACTCAGTTTTATTCTTTACATTCTTTTTGTCTCTGCTTCAGTTTTGGGTACTATCAATTCATCTGTCCTCAAGTTCAGCAACTGTTTTTGTACAGCCTAAGCTATTGTTAAAACTATACAATGAAGTCTCCAGTTTAGTTATTGGATTTTTAAGTTCTATACTGCATATTTTATTATTTTTATAGATTCCAATTCTGTCAAAATTATCTATCATTTTATCCATTTTGTCCATCTTCTCCCCTGCTTCCCTGCATATATATATGACAATTATTTTAAAGTCCCTGCTTGCTAATTCCAACATCTAGAGGAAAACTGGTCAAGTGTTTCATGTCGGCTTCCTCTGTTTGGTGGGAGTTTGTCTCCTAAGCACTGTGGAAAGATTTTTACTCTGACTTTGCAATCCAGCTTCCTTCTTGGGTATAGCCTTCTGAAACTTTTGTTCTATTCCTCCTCCAGCCTTTTTTGTCAGGCAAAATCAAATCTTTATGATTTGTCTTAGTCATTAGTATTTTAACCTCATTCTAAGTTTCTATTATTTTGTCCACAAAGACATGAAATTTCTTTCAAGGAAACAAAAAATATCCCTGTTATCCAAAGCACCTCTCTCAAACTTTGGCTTTCCCTTTGTTATGTCTTTTACCTTAGGTAATAATAAACCAGCTCAGAATTTGTCCAGGGAAGGGTTTTTAACTACCAAGGACCAAAAGAAGCATGTGTGAGAGCAAAACTGACACAATGCTTTGTTACCATTATCAGTAAATGTGTATATCATAATCAGAAAGCAAAACAACTTGTATCCTGAGAGAAATAAAACAAGCAGAACAAACCCGTGTCACTGTACCTAGTTCACGTTCCCCCCAAAAGAATCCTTAAGAGTTGTTTATAAGTACTGACTCCCTAATAAAAGCAACTTTATCACCAACTTTTTGCAATGTTGATAGCTAAAGATTTGTGATAACCTTTGTGGCTATGACAACCATATGAGGAAATTGCTGTCTTTTCTACCATGAGCTGACTAACTACAAAGTTTGTAATGTTGGTAATTTTGTGGGGGTTTCCCCCTTTTTTGTATTTTTTAATTTGGTGAACCAGTCCTTTTAAAACTTAAAAGTTTCTTGCAAATTTTTCCTGGAAGTAAAATTTCCTCTTCTCAATGCTTTGTGTTTGGCTATTTCTATGACAATTCTATAGATTCTACCAAGATTTTATGTATTTATCTACTGGAAGTGTAGTCATCAGCCAGAGCCAAGTAAACTGCACTGCCCATAAGGAGCAACTCAAGGGCTCTTTGAGGTATATATTTTTCCAATCCTAGGGTGAATCTCCTGTGGCAATAGGGTTTTAATCTAGTTGATTCCATTTCTTTTTCTGACTCTTTGTATCTGTTTGGTTTTTGTTTCCTGGTTAATCTTGGTTTTCATGCTAGTTCTGATTAGTATACAACCACTTATTTCTCCTTTGGTGGCAGCAATGTTGATAATATAGCTTTTAATGGTCTTA